GCAACTAGTGCAGAGGTTTCCATATAGTATATGCCATAAGTTTGTGTGAATCCCTTTGCAACCAATCTAGCCTTATACCTCTCTATAGAACCATCAGCATTATACTTTATCGTAAATACCCATATGCATCCAATAGGTTTTTTTCCCCTCAGGTTGGTTAACTAGTTCCCATGTATTGTTCTGAACAAGAGCATCCATTTTTGCTTTCATCACTTCCTTCCACTCAAGTATCGATAGGGCTTCTTGTATTGTTCTGGGTATATGAATAGTAGCAATAAATGCCAGATAAGATCTATAGGATTCTGAGAAACAATCATAGGAAAGGAACTTGGAGATACAATGGACAGTGGATGGGGTACAATGACGCTTCCCTTTACGAATTGCAATCGAATGATCAAGATCGCAAGGCAGAGGCTGAGGATCAATAATGTTAGGCTCAGGCAAAGTATCTGTAGTATTTGCGATGGTTGTCTCAATAATGGGAGCAATGGTAGTGTCTGGATCTGTGGCTGTTGAAGATGTTGGGATCGACCTGGACTGTTGTTGAGGACGGGAATCAACTTGCCTCCACCACTTTCTGTGATACAATCTCAACTCTCTCCACTTTTGACAGTCCTCTTCATGACACTCCCCCTTAGTAAATGGAACATGTAATAGAACTCTTGGAGCTAAAACTGAAATCCCTTCCTCACTGCTCTCCTCATGAGGAGAAGCCATATGATAGTAGGGCATATCCTCGAAAAAGGTGACATCCATTGACACAAAATGTTTCCCTGAAACAAGTTCATAACAACAATATCCTTTTTGATTTTGTGCATACCCAAGAAAATGCATTTAGTAGCTTTTTGATCAAACTTGGAGCGATGAGGGCCAAGGAATTGAATAAAACAAGTACGGCCAAAAGTTTTGAAGGGAATAGTGAATAGGTCCTTGTCTGGATACAGGAGGCTGAATGGTGTTTTCATGTCTAGAATTCGTGAAGTAACCCTGTTAATAAGGTAAACAGTTGTACAAATTGCATCCTCCCAAAAGTGTATGGGAACATTATAGTTGAGCATGATGCTTCTGGCTACCTCTAGGATATGTCTATTTTTTCTCTCAGCAACCCCATTCTGCTGAGGTGTACGAGGACAGGTGTTCTGATGAATGACCCCATGATCTAAGAGATATGATGCCAAGGGTTTTGCAAAGTACTCTTCGACATTGTCAGATATAAGAATTTTGATCTTAATTTCAAACTGGATTAGAAGCATTTGATAAAAAGCTTGGGTTAAAGAAGGGACCTCATCTCAAGAGTGCATAAGGTAAACCCATGAGAAGTGGGTATAATCATCAACAAATAATAAGAAATATCTGTACCCTCCCATGGTAGGAGTATGATATGGCCCCCAAACATCTGTATGCATAATTTCAAAAGGAATATTACTTCTTTTATAACTCAAATGATAAGTTAATCTGCAGTGTTTTGTAAATTTACAACTTTTACACTTCAAATTAGACACTTGGACTGACTCAAATAAACCCAGAACCAGACTCTTTAAAGACCTAAAAGATAAATGACCTAATCTATTATGCCAAAGAATAATCTGACTCTAAGACTGAGAAACAAACAATTTCCTAGCCTCACTCTGCTTTCCCTATAAATGATCAAGTAGGTAAACTCCATTCATCTCATAGCCAATCCCAATCACCTTCTTCATTTCCAGATCCTGAAAAACACAACGGTTAGAAAAAAATGTTACTGAACAATTTTTGTTTTTTGTAATACTACTAACCGAAAGCAAGTTAGCACTAAGCTTAGGAACATGCAAAACTAAGGTTAGGGAGATGACATCAGATAGTCTAATGTTTCCCTTGCTAGAAAACGGCACAAGGGAGACATCGGCAATAGATACTTTGTCTCTCCCAGAGGTTAAGCAATATGTGGTAAACAAGGTAGATAAGCTGGTCATATGGTCTGAAGCACCTAAATCTATTACCCAGAATGGTCTAGTATTACCTAGAATAGAAGTATGACATGTTGTAGCTCTTCTACCTGTATGAGCAAGGGCTGAAATAGGATGAGCAAGTGTAATAGCTGAAGACTGAGATGTGGATCCAGAAATACCAGCTTCATTCTCTAGTTGTGTTAATGTAGCCCGAACAACTATTAAAGCATCCAAGGATGTGGTCCTTGTGCTGGAAGAAGATGCATTGTCTGTAGTAATTGCCACATTAGCACTCCCTTTCTTGTTTCTAAATCTTGTTGGCATTAGGTGAGGGTGCAACTTCCAACAAGTGTCCCTAGTGTGTTTAGGCTTCTTGCAATGATCACAAACAATATCTCTTTTGTCTTTCTTCTTAATTTCCCTATCCTTCTCTCCTCTAACCTTAGATTTTATTACTGTCAATGATGCTTCTGTAGGCTGAAAAGATAGCATAACCTTTCTCCTATTCTCCTCACTATGAACCAATGAGTAGGCTTGAGATAAGGTCACACTCTCCCTAATGAGAAGTTGTTGTCTTGTAATGTCAAAACCAGGGAATTGAGAATAAGTATCCTTCATGCTGTCCCAAATCTCCTTGGTTGTTTTTGCCCAAAGGTAATTTCGACTGATGTGGAGTTGCATAGAGTTGCATAGCCAAGTCATCACCAAGTAGTTCTCTTGAACCCATCTTGGATGAGATGTATCCTCTTTGACTGGTTTCTTTGCATCTTCAGTCACATACCCTAATTTACCTCTACCTCCAATGGCCATCATTGCCAATTAGGCCCACTCCAAGTAATTTGTTCCATCAAACCTAATAGTGGTAATCTGTAACGAATTTTTAGTTATGTTACCAGTCCCAAAACCTTCCCCTTGTGTTTTCACCTCACTTCCAACTTTTTTCATACTATGTAGATCACAAATAGGTCACAAAACTCCAAGAAGAAGACTAAAGAAGACTAATTTTCTGCTTCTATGAAAAACAGAGAAAAACAACCCAGAAAATGATCTCAGCAAAGAATAGGTGCCTAGAACATAATTTCAGTCAACAATTTCTTCTCAAAACTGTAACTTTAGTCAAAATATCAGAGCCCTAGATCAATATCAGCAAAGAACATATCTTGATTCCTCAAAAGAGATCGAAGGGTTTAATGCCAAGGAGAAAATAGCAAGGTATTCTCAAATTTATTATGCTGCTGCTAAAAAGAATTCTTGATAACTTCTATCTAAGACCGAATTATCTTAAAGGTTGTACCTTTCTCAAAATAAAAAAAAAGAACTTTGGTCGTCCACTTTGGTTTGAAACCCTAACCTTGATAGAACCTGAACACTTTCTCAAAAAAAAAATTGATCGTCCACTTTGGCTTGAAACCCTAACCTTGATCGAATCTGAACTCTGATTCTTCCTAGTCACCGGGTAATTCTCCAAGAATCTTTCACCTTCTTGAGCAGCCTTCAGCACTCCAGTAACCTCCAAGAACCAAGCAACTACTGCAGAAGTCTTGATCTAATGGATTCTCATGTAGTCGACCAGATCAGGCTTACATGAAAACCCTAGTCTTTCTTGCCAAGTGCTTCGATACCAACTTGAATAAAAGTACTTATTCATATTCTATTATAATTCAGAAAAGAAAACAAAACAAAACAAAACAAAGGAAAGGAATAACTAGGCTTCGAAAAGAAAGGGGTTCAATTAATTGATTCTGCCGCCCCATAAATTTTATTATATAGATTAATTTCCTTGCAAGAATAGGAGTTAATCTAATCCTACTTAGAACAAAAAACAAATAAAAGCATAAACTAGGATAAACAAGGCCAGCCGGCCTAACTTAAAAAGGATAAAAATAACTAAGTGTTGATATGGAACCACACATACACTAGAACCTAAGTGTGGGTATTGAACCACACACTCGAAGCTACTAACTATCTCTACAATTATATTATACTTATATCTCCTTTTACCTCCTGATCCATTCCTCCTGATTTTATCAGGTCTGCACTTGGTCATTGTTTGGAAAGAGTGACAATAGAGTACAAATACAAATATATAGTGTCTTCTGGTCCATGCAAATGCAAAGTTGATTTAGGTTGTAATGTGTTAATAGAAATCTTGAAATTGAAATATATCTTTTTAACTTATTGATAAAAGAAAAATACACCTTTGTAACATTAACCACCTTTGAATTCAAAGTCTACATCTTTTTTCATGTAAACTTTTTCTCTCATTTTGGGTGCAAACATGTCTTGAAATTTGTGAAAACCATCACTTTCAGCACATAAATGTATTAAAATGCATATATGCAATTAAGCACTGAACCAGCATTTACACTCATTGCTGATTTGTTGCAATAAATTATCCTAATGCTGTGTTTGGTTGCAGTGCAAATGAAAAGAATGCAGATTCTGATCTAATTTTATTTCGGGTTTTACTTCATTCTGTTTCACGTCTTATTTTACCTCATTAGTACTGCAATCAAATAAAATAAGGTAAATTTTGAAACAAAAACAAATCTGAATTTGCACTACCTTAATTTTGCATCTATGCAAATTTATTTGCACTGCAACCAAACACAGTCTAAAGCTTACTTCAGAAAAGAAAAAAGGCTTATGGCCAGGGACTAAAATATCAATACCACTTTTTTTATTTAATGCCTTCCATCATTCCATATATTAAATCCTTTCTTTTTATGAATAAGAACCTACAACAGGGGTTAGTCTATCCCACCCCATGTATCAATACAACAAATACAATTAAAAAGACTTAATAAAAAAAGAGGGTATATCATATTCATATCTGGTCTGGGTGCACTGATATGGATATGATACGCCCCATATCGGCATTTTGATCCTTTTTCCTGGCTAGTTGATAAAGAGATCACAGCTTACCACCATGGGCTTTTGGGCATTAGACATGAATATGATTCAAATTTGGCAGGAATGAAGTAAAACAAATCCAGCCGTTGGAATCCAATCAACTTGACCTCCAATTGAACTCCCTATAAATACCCCATTCACCAACAAAGAGACTTACAATTACACACAGAAAATGACCTTGTGATTTTAACTTCGAGAACTTGAGAATTACACACAAAAAATGTAAATACATTCATCAACAGTTAAGACTTAAGAGACTTTCAATGGGATAAGCGCCTTCCAATTTTAAGGCTTAATTTCTCTTTTTTTCGGCTCACCCTGACCTTGTGAAGATGTCGATGGTATGTTCATATCCAATAGTAATTTGCTTCGCTGCTTCTCATAAACCCATACACCACTAGCATATATATATACACTTGAATAAGTATAACCATCCCCCTTTTCCCCATAGAAAAAAAAAACAAAACAAAAAATAAGACGTGGCATCAGTAACCTCCATGCAAATATGCAATCCCTGTTGATCCCAATGACTGGCAGCACTCAGTGACGTAGAAATATAGCACTAAGCGCATGTACTTGGCTCAGGAATACATTTCAACTAGGCATAGCCAGAAGACATCTCTGCCACTATCAAAACCAAGCCTACTCCAGCAGTGGCTCCTCTTCATCCTTAAGTTCCTTGAGCTGGCGCTTTGCATAGAGAGTGATTATTGCAGTCGCAGCAAGGGTTGCAGAGAAACCGAAAATGTTGATAATGGTCTGCTGCGTTGAGAGGGATTTCCGGCCATGTGCCGCATCCGCCAATGTCCTTATCATAATGCCACTGTTTTGCAGAAGTTGAATTAAACAATCAGCTTTTGGTATAAAAGGAGGAAACAGTCATTTTGTCCTGATTATGCACTCCCTAAAGCACACAAAAACACATGGGCAAAGAAGAATAAGATCTAATCAAGGATTGAGCAAAACAAATACAAGCAAACATGAGTATGCTACCTTTGATCTAGTGACTACATGTTCAGGATATTGACAAGCCTCCCACTCCCCTATTGCCCTTGGAGATTTCATATCAACAACCCACTTAATGATGGCATTTCTCTCGCTATATCTTTCTCACTATTTTGAGATCTGAGCATTTGGTTTGAAACTTTGCTTAAACAATACAATCACCTTTTTATCTCCCCCACCCCCACCACCCTCAAGCAACACCCAATCCTAGTTTACTTCCGTACTTGGTGCATTGATTAGGAAACATTAAAAGTGATCCATCATGAAAGAATAAAACATTCAGAGTAGAATTAAAAGATAAAAATTTAAAAAAAAAGGGGGGGATAGAGTCATATGAAGTTAATACAAGAGAATGGCCATAAAACAAACAAACAAACAAATAAAGGGATGGAAAATCTTTGGTTATATTGAGTGCCATTGAGATATAGAAGAGAGAACATGTCTGAATGCGTCAATTGCAAAGGAAATGAGCAAACAAAATGAAGGTTGCAGTTAGAAACTGGACTCTGAGTAATTAAACAAGACTAAAAAAATCAATGAAAGGGACAAAGCCCCTGATTGACCAAAATTCAGAAAAGCAGAAGAGTCCTCTCTCTTTCCTGGATTGACCAAAGTTCCACAAACAGCAGAAAGACATGATTCATATAAGCACTGTAGTATGGACTTTCATAAATTGATAAAATGTTCTTGTCAGACATGCGTCAGATTCCAACACCGTGGGTTCTTGAGGTACACCTCTATGTAACATTTTCCTTTTTTTCTAACTTAGCATAAAAGAATAGCTAATGTAGATGATGAGTGCCATTTTTCATCACTAAAAAATAGAGAAAACCTTTTAGATCATTTTCTATTAGAGATGTAATGTTAAGATTCACAAACTATGAACTATTTTAATAGCATAAAAGCTTCTGTAGATGTGTCCACGAGTTCATGTTTTTTCATCTTTCCAAGTCAGACTCATGGACATATGTCAGATTCCAACTCTTGTCTCCATATCATGGAGAAGCAGAACTACAAATAAGGTTGGATAGGAGTGAACATTTGGTTTATTCAGTTAAAAACCGAACCGAATTAACCAAAATTTCTAACAGGGAAAACCTAACTGAAACTGAATTAAGCTAAAACTGAAATAACCAAACCAAAGTTTTTGGTGATTTCGGTTAATTTGGCTTCTTCAGTCAACTGAATTTTCAAATCTGAAAAACGAAACCAAAATACCCTAAAACTGAATTAATCAAACCAAAATACCCAAAAACTGAAATAACCAAACTGAAAAAACCAAAACCAAAATTTTTGTTTCAGTTCTTGTGTTTTAAACAAATAATGTTCACCCCTAAGGTTGGCTGCAAAAATTCTTCAAACAAAACGGAATGGTCAAACAGGATTCATGTAGTTGACCCATATAGTTGGTGTTAGTGTCGACAGTACAGGGGTGTTTTGGTCTTTTGGTTAATCTAGTTGAAAGTGAAAGGTCTTCTTTATTCAAGTTTAAGTTATGTGTCCCATCACTTATAAGGGACAATACTGTCTTTGTGTAACTCAATCTATTCACTATAAATACAAAGTGGGTCGGCTAGAGTGGGAGACTTTTCCTCTACTGCCGAACCCTTCTTCTTCTCATACTTCAAATCTGAACTGAATAAGATTGTTTTACATGGTATCAGAGCGAATATAGCAAGTTCAGATCTGCTCTTTTTTTTTCTGATTTACCCAGTTTTTTTTATTGCCCTTTTCTCTAGGGTTTCACAGATTTCTCAAGAATCACTAGGAGATTAAGGGAAAGGCTGCAAAGGAGTGATCGCTTTTCTCTGTAGGAGGCCTTCATGCCTTTGGTTTGTGATGCGGTGGTTGTTTGTGGTGATTGGTAGGAAGCTCTCTATTCGATGGTACAAAGAGAGCAGGTTCGGGTGGAACAGTGTTCAGTCGAGTACAGGTTGGTTCTATAGTGTGCAGTACAGGTGTTCGATTTGATGGCTGATTGATTACAGCTCTTGTATTAGGTGTGTGATGTGTATTTGAAGAAGTCGGTGGTGCTGAAAGTGAGTTAGGGTTTTGTGGTGGTGCGTGGAGTTGTGCTGAATAGTCGAAGGTGAATACTTTGTTTATAACAGTGATTTCTTTGTGATGTGAGGTGAATTAGTTAAGATATGGCATCAACTGGAGATAGAAATGACAATAAAACAGGTGTCATGATTTCTCTACATTATTTAAATGTTCAAATGACATCTATTAAGTTGAATGGTGAGAACTATGTGTCGTGGGCCAAATCTGTGGAGGTGTTTTTAAAGGCCAAGAAAAAGGTAAAACATGTAAGAGGAGAAACCCTCCTCTGACTCTCTAGGGTTCAGTGATTGGGAACAGGAGGATGCACAAATCATGATCTGGTTGTGGAATAGCATGGAACCTAAAATCAGTGTGAATTTTATATTCCTAGATACAGCTAAAGAAATCTGGGACCATGGTAAGAAACTTTACTCTAACCAAAATAATACTACTAGGGTATATCAGCTGTACCAAGAGTACTTTAATCTAAAGCAAGGTAACCAAAGCTTGGAGGAATACTATGCAAGCATGAGGAATATCAGAAATGAGCTTAATGTACATCATCCTCTGACTCCGGATGTTCAGGTTCAGCAACAACAGCGAGAGCAACTTGATGTGACAAGGTTCCTAGTGGGTCTAAAGGCTGAATATGAACCTGTTCGGGCACAAATATTGAGGGGGTCAGCTCTTCCCTCACTTGAAGAAGTGTTTGCCCGTCTTCGGAGGATATCTATTGAGTCTACAGAGTCTTCTTCTCTCTCGGACAGATCTGGTTTTGTGGTGACTAGAGGGGGAGGTCGTGGAAATAGAGGTGGAGGTGGTGGTCGTGGGTTTCCAGGAAACCGAGGTGGTTCTATGTTTAATCGTTCTGGTGGCCGCAGTGGTGTTCGAGAGTCAGGGGGAGGTCGTGGTAGAGGAAGGAGCAATGCACCTAGAAAATGCACATATTGTGGACTAGAGGGGCACACTGTTAATTTCTGTTATGATTTACATGGTCCACCCAATACTTTGGATGAAACGATGTCAGGTAGATCATTTCGTGTTCAGCCATGACTCAAAAGATGAGAAAATCTTGCTAGTGGTGTATGTGGATGATATTGTCATAACTGGGAGTGCCAATAAGGGGATTGACAAGTTGAAGAACTTCTTTCAGGTTCACTTCAACACAAAAGATCCGGGTAAGCTGAAGTACTTCCTGGGAATAGAAGTTGCAAGGTCAAGGCATGGAATTAACCTATGTCAAAGGAAATATGTCATTGACCTACTTGAAGAAACAGGGTTGTTAGGTGCTAAACCAGTAGAGACACCTATGGAACCAAATGCTAAGTTGAGTGTGGATGTAGGTGAGGAATTTGATGATCCTGGAAAGTACAGGAGGTTGATGGGAAAACTTAACTATCTGACTATCACACGGCCAGATATATCATTTGTTGTAAGTATGGTGAGCCAGTTTATGCAACATCCTCGGATTCCTCATTGGCAAACAGTTCTAAGAATTGTTAGGTATCTGAAGGATGCTCCAGGTCGTGATCTACTATACAAGAGTGGAGGAACTCTTGAGATAGAAAGATATACAGATGCTATTTGGGTTGGTTCTGTATCAGACAGGAGATCAACTACAGGATATTGTACTTTCCTTGGTGGCAATCTGGTAACTTGGAAGAGCAAGAAACAAACAGTGGTGGCAAGGAGCAATTTTGAAGCTAAGTACAGGGCTATGGCTCATACTACATGTGAACTAGTATGGTTGAACAACTTGCTACAAGAGATGGGATTCTCAGTTAACAAACCCATGAGATTATATTGTGATAACCAAGTTGTTGTACACATCTCTTCTAATCCAGCCTTCCATGAGAGAACAAAGCATATTGAAGTCGATTGCCACTTTGTAAGAGAAAAAGTGATTAGTGGAGTGATAACTACGTCTCATGTGAGCTCAGGAAACCAGTGGGCAGATCTCTTTACAAAGGGATTGTCTCGGGGCAGGGTAGATTACATATGTGACAAGATGGGACTATATGGCATATACTCTCCAGCTTGAGGGGGAGTTTTAGTGTCAACAGTACAGGGGTATTTTGGTCTTTTGGTTTATCTAGTTGAAAGTGAAAGGTCTTCTTTATTCAAGTTTAAGTTATGTGTCCCATCACTTATAAGGGACAATAATGTCTTTGTGTAACTCAATCTA